CAGCAGCCACTGTGAGTGGCCATCCAGAAGCCGGCAACTGATCTGCCTCGCCCGGGAAGAGCGCAATGATGGTGCCAGCTTGGGCCAGTGAAGTAACGTCCTCCACAACTAGACTGAAGAACAAGACGACAGCAACTTGTCTGTTCCCCTTCCCCCAATTCCCCACTGCTGTTCCCATCTCCCCAATTCCCCCCCCAAAAAAAAAACCTAAAAAAAAATAGAGTAGCTGCCTTTCAGAGTTGTTGGGGAGGATGTGATGCATTATGGTAAGTGCTCAGCAGGCATGATTACACTTCCTTATTATTATTATCTTGGCACAATAGTGCCCTGGGGACACAACTGCCCCAGTTGAGAACCTCTGGTTGAAGGCTAAATCATCTTTATCACTTCATCCATCAGTAAGTTCCACTGGAACATTTCCCCTCAGGTTCAGGGTAATTAATAGCCTTTCCCACTCACTCATCACCTATTCATTCACTCATTCATACATTCGTCCGGTCAAGAAATATTTACCAAGCGCGAACCACCTTTTCTTGGTAAATCCAAGATGCATTTTTTCCCCCTGTCCATATTCTTGAAGTTGGGATGTGTCACAGTCATGGCCAGCAGGCATCATGGCCTGCATGGGGGCACATTGAAACGTGCAGGTTGGGTGGAAGCAGCTTGGTGGAAGCTTCCAAGTATAACAGGAACTGTTGTCCAGGTAATTCTGTATCACCAGTGTTTTCAGGGATTCCAAAGGCCACACTGGCAGAAAAACTGGGCGATACTGGCGATTCTGCGTGGAAAAGGGATTCGAATGTTATTACAAATGTAATAACCTAGGAAATACCTTCTTATCCCATTTATTTCACTTACGTTTTCTTTTTGACGTATGTACATAAATAATACATGATTAAAATTTATGTCTAAATAAGTCTGAATAGGTTTGAAACAGAAAGGCGAGAGCATCTCTCAGCTTAGTTGGCAGTGCTGTTTTCTTTTGCTTCTATATAAAATTATGTTCGGACTATGATATATGCTGCCCGTCAGTTTCAGTCTGAGACACGGAGAGGAACAACCCAGAAACCGCATACACAGCATTCACCCTGTAGCGGAGACTTGAACCACAGCCTGCTGACTCCACGGGGCTTTGCCCCTCCATTCCACCGCCCCAGGTTGGGGCCTGAAAGCCCCCTTTCTGGTGGAACCTCCTCCCTGCCCTCACCTGCTTTCCTCTTTGGTGTGTCCCAGCCCTGGGTTCAGTCTGGAGCGGGGACACACAGATGAATCGGTGATCGCAGGCAGCGAGATAAGTGCCCATGGGCCATGTGGGAAGCGTCTGTGTTTCCTGGCTTGGAGCCTAGAGCAGTGCCCCCCCTTTGGAGCTGGCACAGCCTTTCCTGGAAACTGATTGGTTTGGAAACCAGGTGACGGTGTGTCTTACCTGAGCTAAGATCTAAGAAGAGGTCCAGCTGTCCAGGGCATGAGAGAGCTCTGGGCTTGGAGCTTGGTTTCAGTGGTGGCCCTGCTGTCACAGCTGTGTACCCCTGAACACAGAACTTAGCCTCTCTGAGCCTCAGTTTCTACCATAGTGGAGCAGGAATAACACCTTCCAATCCTCCCACAGGACCAGATGAGATGAGGGGCGTAAAAACGGCAGGACATGCAGAAAGGCCTGTCCAGGGTCTTCCGGGGCTAAGAGGTCGGAGGAAAGCAGAAGGTACCCAGGAGGCCCCAGCCTGGTATCGAAGGGGCCTGACAGGCTATACACCCACTGTGCTGGTGGTGATGACCGAATCCCAGCTCTAACCAGCTGGGCAAATAGGGCTGCAAGGAGGGACAGGGTGGAGGAGCGGCCAGGGGTGTGGCTTTGGTGCTGGGCTGACAGGGTTCAAGTCTTGACTCTGACACTTGCTAGTGTGTGACCTTGCATGAGTTATTCACCGTGCCTCAGTTTCCCCATCTGTAAAAGGAGGTGATGATACTCCAGGGCTGTTATGAGGAGTTAAAGTGTTAAAATACATGCAGTTCTTAGAACAATGCCTGGCTCATAGTGTGTGTTATATAAGTGGGGCTGCTATTTGTTATCATTGTTATTATTACCTCTCAGGAGGAATGGACCCACCACAGCTTGGGAAGGCAGGGCCTCGCTCACCTGGGCTCCAGGGACAGTGAGAACCAAGGATGGAGCCTCCCAGTCGCTCTGCCTTCTCCCGCCAGAGTGGTTGTCTCCTCATGATGTGAAATGTGGCCCTGGCAGCTCAGGCTTTCCATCCCGCATGCCCAGAAAAACTGTCCTCTGCCCCCTCGATACCCTGGGGAAGGCACCCAGATCTGGGCCCAACAACTGAGGCCAAGGGAAGGGTGAAGAAAGAACTGGCAGCTCCCCTGTCAGCAATGGCAATGGGGGTGGGGTGGGGGTGGGGTGGCACACCAGGAGGGGGTCCCAGGAAAATGCGCACATGGTGGGGGTGGGGGGAGCAGACAGTCTCCTAGGTGTCCACACAGAGACCTCATTTCACAAGGGAGGACCACAGGAGCCCAGAACATAGGGGGGCTTGCCCCAGGTCACACACAGCCATAGGAAACAACAGATGGAGCTCCGTCCACGC